TATATATACAGTAGTCCCTCGTTTATCACGGGGGATCTGTACCCTGAAGACTTGCAATAAAAGAAAAACCATGAAGTAGGAATAGTCGTACAAGTAGTAAGTAGAAGTTTATTTTATATATATATATATATATGAAGGAGTTTTGAATCCTTCCCACACTCTTGCAATATTCTAAACTATGTTTCTAAACGCTCCCAAAGAGCACAGAATGTCACGATTTCAGCTCCCTGCCTCCGCTGCTCTCAGCCACCTGCAAGCGTTCTTGGCCACGCCCACTTCTACACTCTGCATGGAGAAGAGCTGATCAGCTGCAGCAGGAAGCTTATCCTGCAGTATGGGCTGCACAAAGGTGCAGCGGGTGCTAAATAATTTAAAATAATTTATTTTAAATTAAAATTCAATGCTGATCGTGCGGCTCATCCATCAATCCGCCAGTTGTGTGTCATGTCCAATCTTATTTTGAAAAAACGCGATAGAGCGAGTCCACGATAAACGAACCGCAAAGTAGTGATCGAGGGATTACTGCATACATACATAATATATATATGATATATATTGATATATGATATATATTGACACTTTATCCAAGCTGCTGATTTCTTACCTTAAGCTGCTGTATTTATACCCATCTGCTCTCAACAGACTCATGCGCAGGCTGCTGTTTAATTCACTGTATTATATTATATTGTTATTGTTTTGCTTATATCTCAAATCCTTGCATGCTGTTGTCTTTTTTTATACTTTATATTTTTGCTATTTTTGGGTGTAACTGGGACCTTGAGTACACAGTTTTGTTCCACCTCATGTACCGCATGTGATGCGATTGACAATAAAGAACCTTGAGCTTTGTCAGTTTTAAAGACATTGACCCAAAAATTGGGGGCGGCACGGTGGCTTAGTTGGCAGAGTGGATGCTTCTCACAAGAAGGATGCCAGACTGAATCTTGGGACCTTCTCTCTGCATGCGTGGATTTTTGGCCAGGTATTCTGGTTTCCTCCCACAGACCAAAAACATGCTGGCCTAACTGGTAACTCTAAACTGTCCGTAGGTGTGAAAGAGAGAGTGAATGGTTGTTTGTCTCATTTTGTCTCCAAGTGTCCCTGTGATGGACAGGGTGTTCCCTTTGACCCAAAAAGGAAGAAGTGGGCAACGATAACGGATGGATGATTCGTTCCATTTAAAGCAGGCTGTTGTATTTTTCTCTAATCTAATGACGAATGAAGAAGCTCTGACTCTGAGACGTCTTGCGTTGATTAAAAGGCTCTTCCTTCTCCAGTCAGTGCATCCTTCAGGTGCAGTGTATTATGTGCAGTAATAAAATCTAAATTCCAGCCATAATAAGGAGAGTAACCGGGGGCCGTTAGCAGCTACTGCGTAACGACCCAGCTGGCATAAACCAGAAGGGAGAACCACCCAATGCAATTATTTCATTTTCTCCTAAAGCCTCCTGCGGGGTTTGTTCTGTACGCTGCAGAGGGAAGAGCTGCTGAACCAGACCAGGCCGCACCACAACAAACACTAATCCATGACATTAACGAGCTTTAACCACTTGTTTTGCTTCTCCTGCTTGTTAAACAGTTATTGTGGGGGGGGGGGGGGGGGGGGGGGGGGCACAGCACAAACACATACATTTTAACGCCTGCCTCCCTGAACAAAGCCACGCTCCGTCACCGCAGAGTGACATCTTAATCATTTCCACGCTCCGTCTAATACCATAAAAGGTTTCGCAGATCAAACAGAAATGTGGAGGCTGAAAGGCCGAAGCAATCTGCATCCAGCTTTGTGTTACCAAGAAAGAAAAGAAACAAAGACACACACACACACGTGTACACACACACTAAGAACAAACGTCAGAAACAGGTGTTTTCACTAAAGATGTCATGTTTATAGTAATCTAAATTAAAGAAATTACATTTCCTGCAAAAATGCAGCGTGAATGCTTATTCCAGAAGAACTTGCTGAAAAACAGCTGAAATGTAGCTGAAATGGAAGAACAAGCCTACTTTAGCAGAAGAAAGCAGAAAGGACACACATTTGCTGAATTAGGTTTAAATGAAAAGAAGCGAGCATAAAATTTTGGGAATTAGCTAAAAAAAAAGCTGAAATTAACGGAAAAGGGCTGGAACGGCTGAAGAAAAAGCTTAAACGAAGGAAGAAGGAAGCGGAAAGTACTGAAATGAGCTAAAACATGTGGAGTTAGCTGGAAAAAAAATGAAACAGCATGAAAAGAGCTAAATAGTAGCTGAAATAGCAAAAAAAGCTGAAACTAGCAGAAAAAAGCTGAAAGGAGCATAATAAGTTGAAATGAGCATAAAGAAGTGAATTAAGCTGAAAGAAGGAGAAATGAGCACAAAATAGTGGAAATTATCAGAAAAAAGTTGAAACTAGAAGAAAAAAAAACACCTGCTGAAAAGTAGCTAAAAAAGCAGGAAGAAGCTGAAATTACAAGAAGCAAGTGGAGAGAGCACAATGTTGCTGAATTAGACTGATAAAAGTAGAAACGAGTGCAAAAAATGTGGAATTAGCTGAAAAATCTAAAATTATAAAACAACTAAATAGTAGCTGAAAAAGCTGAAACTTGCAGAAATAAGCTGAAAGGAGCAAAACAAGCTGAAATTAGCAGAAAGAATCTGAAAGGAGCACAAAACAGCTGAAAAAAAACCAACTGAAAGTAGCTGAAAAATGCTTACATTTGCACAAGGAAGCTGAAAGAAGCTGAAGCAGAACAAAATGTGAAAGGAGCAGGAAAAGGTTGTAAACACATCTAAAGATCTGAAGGATGTAAAATGAGAATTCATTTTCTATGAAGAAAAAAAAGTGACAGAAAAAGCTAAATATCTCAAAGAGCTAAAGTTGCACCAATACCAAAAGTCATAGCAGGATTGTCCTGAAAGAGCCGAACGTTTTGATTTATAATTTGTTGAAATAGCACAAAAGTTGTGGAACGAGAAAGATGCTGAAAAACATGCGGAAGAAAAATGGATCACAGTAGAGAGAACGCTTCATAAACATTCACACAAGTTAAAATCCGAGTAGTACTTGGAGGAATGCATATCACCCGCCACACCTGGTTTCAGCTAAGATCTTGGAGAACACGTTGAGGACAACTCTCAGCTACTACCACAAAAACACTTAGCTCATTATCTGGCAACCAGTTTCAAGCAGTGAAGCATCATGTTATGAACTCCAACAAGTTTTTATTTAGTTTCATAAAAGATGAACTGAAAATGAAGAAAAAAAAACAAAACGTGTTTGGACTCACTTCCTGTCGGCCACTAATAATTAACTTAAATTAACTTAAAATGGTCGACAGAATGAAATGGGAATCCTGTGGAAGATTATGAACCATTAACATCTTACCTGTCCGACATGGATCTTTGATCGACCTCGGTTTAGGGAAATTAATTCCTGACCCAACCGACGAGCTAACGATTAACTTAAGTAGGTAAGAGACCAAAGACGACAACCGACGTCTTAAAGCAACTTGAAGCTAAATTAATTTTAAAGAGATTAACCAACTTTTTAACTTACCGTTGACGCCACTGTCAGTTTGATCGAGAACACACATCGATCACATCAGTTCTGTTGGGTTTTGCTGGACATTTTTACCTTTTAACTACAAATTTGTTCATTTTAGCTTTTAGCTACTGTTTAGCTAGCAAATAAGTGTTTTTTTTCTGATACAAGCTTTTACTTTTGTTTAGCTAATTGTAGCTTTTCAGGGCTTTTGGGGGGGCTTTAACATATTTAAACAAATTCAAGTAGCACTTTTTCAAAAGCTTACATAAAAATATTTAGCCATTTGTCAGTTTAATTAGCGTCAGCAGCTAGCTATAGCACTTCCAGTGCATTTCTGTAAATAATTTCCAAATATTTCTGCTGAAATGCCCATGTTATGTAATGAAGCACATCGATTCTAATCGTTCTGCAGAAATATTGGATGTTCCTGCAGGAGGTGCCCCCAGGCTGCACAGGAAGTGCTACAGCTAGCTGCTCCTACATATCTTGTGGGTAGATACTCGCTGCAAAGTCATGAAAACTAGCTAATAATAATCATAATAAAGTAAGAAACAAAATCCGCACAATATATTTCCAATACTGATATTTAACATATCTTTAAATTAAAAATTTGTAGGCATAATTAGTGAACAGCTGCCAATGGCCACAATCGTTTGTTTACAAAACAGCCGAAATGACTGAAAATAGGTAATTAATGCTCCACAGAAGACGGCAGTTTTGATGTAATGGTTCATATTTACTAAGATTAAAATATGTGTTTTACGTTGAGCAACCAAATTTCTGAAAAAAGACGGAAAACTAAACAGTCAAACTGCACCGTTCGAGTTCAAGATGACCGTTGTTGTGTTCAATTAAACAGATTGCAACAAATATCTTTAAAGCCATTAGCTCATCAGTCAAATCAAAATAATTCAAATTAGATCATTAAAAAACATTCTTTTAATCCCTAAGGGGAAATTACTCGCAGTATTTCCTAAGACGTATCCAAGGATAAATTAAATTACACATTTAAAGCTCAATACTGCAATAATGGAAAACAAACAAATAGCCAATTAAAAGAAGATATTCTGAGCGAGCAGGTGAGGTTTTACAGCCTGGCGACTACAAGCAGGACGCATTTCCTGCTGCCAGCGAGTCCAAATGTCCGTTAAAGTCAAGTTTTCCAAACTAATCTCATTCAAAGGATATCATGAACAGGTAAGATATTAACTGTGCATACCATTTCCGCAGAACCGCGCTTGAAAAAATCCGAACTATGACTTTAAAACTAAACAGACTGTTTTCTGTTAAAAACAGGTGGAAGGTTTAAACTGAATAATGTGGGGATGACTCAGCTAAGATTCACATCAGTTTATTTAAAAAAAAAAACACGATCGTCCGCTTTTCCCTTTCAGCAGCGGGCGACAGTGAAAGTAATGAAATGCGCAAGTGGCTGAAAAGGAACAGAGAAGAGGGGAAAAAAAAGAGTTTTAGAAACTGATAAATAATTTAGAAATAAACTCTTAATCAAATCAAAGTGACAGTTCTAAATATGGCTTGGAATATATTAAATATTACAGGCTTGTGTTTGAATAAATATTGTGTTTTAGGTTTTAATCTGCGCAGATCTGCTCAGAGATTAAATCTGCAGAGATTTAAACTTCAACAAATTCCTCCAAATAATAAAACGGGTGCGCAGTAAGTAAGTAAGTAAATAAGTAAATAAATAAATAAATAAATAGAAAATAAAAGCCGCCGCAGCTCTTTTTCCACCCGTTACCTGGGTGGGTTAAAGGGAATAAACGTCCGGAGTTTGGAAGCGCATGGACTTTTGGCGCATCTGCGTGAAGAAAACGCGCAGATCCGTCCAGGACTCACCATGGAAGGACAGGATCCGAAGACCGTGAGGGACAGGACGGGGTACAGGACGCTCACAGGGACCCGCATGCTGACGGAGATCTGGTGCCGCGGGGTGGGTCGGGGAGGTTCCGGAGCTTCCTGCCTCTCTTCAGGGACGTGGAACCGCGGGGGGAGCGCTCTGACGGCGGCAGCGCGGCATCACACCCACCGCTCCCTGGAGCTCCGACTGAAGGAGGCGAGGAGGAGGAAGCAGGAAAGTTTGGAGCAGAGGAGGAATATTCAAATGTTGCTGCTCCTGCAGACTGCAGGGAGGCGCAGTGATGTCACCATCCATCCATCCATCCATCCATCCATCCATCCATCCATCCATCCGAGGTTTCACATCATAATAAAAATGAAATGGACCACACACCGAGTCTAGAACCTCCTTCAGCAGCTGTTTGTTTGTCTCTCTTGTGGTTGTGGAGGAGTTTTGGCCCACTCTTCTTTCCAGCGTTGTTTCTGTTCATTGAGGTCTCTCCTCAACTCTCTGAAGGTCCCACAGCGTTTCCATCTATTGGACTTTTGCAGCACCTTGGTTCGTCTCTTTTTGACCCGCTCCGTTGTAGATTAGCTGCTGAGTTTGGGGTCATGGACATGTGGTCTCACATTTGTCTTTAACCTTTTGGCCTTCAGAGGAGTTTGAGTCCGCTCAATGATTGCAAGGATCCCACATCATCACACCTCCACCCTCGTGCTTCACAGTGTTTTGAGCTATGTATGTTGCTGTGCATTATGGGTAAACTCCAGGAAACCCATGGGACATGTGGAGTGGAATAAACTCACTGGCTTACAGAGGGAAATGAACGAAGAGCAAACGAGTTAAACAAGTTTTTCAATAGGTTTGACTGTACCCCAACACAATGAAAATGACCGCCATGAGCTCTGATCCAGTCGCTCTGCCACGCACCCCCACCTTGACAACCATCAGAGCCATCACCACCTCGTTCCCCCACCCCCACAGGTCTGCACATTACAGCGAGCCAGGTGATGAGAGGGCTGGAGAAGGTCAAACAGAGAAAGGCTGCTGGACCAGATCAGCCCTCGTGTCCTGAAGGAGCGCACCAGCCAGCTCCGTGGAGTTCTTCTCCAACATGAGTCTGCACCTTCAGAGAGTCCCAGTGCCTAAGAAAGGACAACCTGTAGCTCTGAGTGACCACAGACCAACAGAGGTCAGATAGTTGTCTATCCATCTGGAGCAGTCCTTCAGTTTGGCCTTCAGCAGCCTGAATGGTGGATGGTGATGAAGGCGTTGGAGAAGTTGAAGAATATGATGCTCTGTCCAGGAAGGAGTATGCTTTCTGCAGCAAGCATATGATGACATCATCGACTCCAACCTTTGGCAGGTATGCAAACTGCAGAGGGTCATGTGATGAGCCAATACAGGTGAGCTAGGACTAAGACCTTCATGATGTGAGAGGTCAGCTCCTGGTGAGATGGAGAGACAACTATCTGAATCCATCCATCCATCCATCCATCATCCATCCATCCATTCATCTAGCCATAAATCCATCCATCCATCCATCCATCCATCCATCCATCCATCCATCCATCCATCCATCCATCCATCCATCCATCCATCCATCCATTCATCTAGACATAAATCCATCCATCTATCCATCCATCCATCCATCCATCCATCCATCATCCATCCATCTAGCCATAAATCAATCCATCCATCCATCCATTCATCTAGACATAAATC